TCTTTATCAAAGACATAGCAGTCATCTTACAGACTTTTACTTTATTCCTCAGACATCGATGAATGCGATAATGAATTCAGTGGAGGCTGTGTACATGAATGTTTTAGCATTCCCGGCAATTGTCACTCTACTTGGAACGATGGCTTCATGTTGGCTCATGATGGTCATAATTGTCTTGCTAAATAGTATAGAACAAAACAATTGCAATCCTTAATTTCCTTAACCCAGTCCTTTATCCCAGTCTAGTGATTTGGTTACATTTATACAATAGGCATAAAGAGAGGGCATCTTCAGAATCAGTCCTTGTTTTTTGTCCAAATGGAGAATCTAAGTTTTTAATAATTCATGATTTTATTTTTCTCAACAGGCTTATGAGATAATATCATCATTATTGCTGATTGATCTTACAGCATACCCATATTACTCTAAGATCAAATATTAGTTTTTGCTCTCTTACAAGAGTCATGGATAGATCTGAGTATTCTATTAGAAGTATCATTGCTGATACCCAGTTAATGTCATTCTGGAACTCTCTCAGACCTCTAGAATCCAGTAAACCTCTTCTTCTGAAGGTTCAAAGTGTGTACTTGGGTTTCAGCCAGGTAGGTTTTATTTTTTTGTGAGAGACAGAACACTTCCATTATTCTTTTTCCTCAAGGATACACAGAACAGAAACATCTGCTGGAGTTTTAGATCTATGGAGCTGGGGGTACTGAAGGGGGTGTTGTTTATGGATTGGTTTCTTAAGATAAGATTTCTCCAGAACTACCGAAAACAAGCTGTTTGGCTGCAAGTGGAATAGTGTGGATGCTTCAGAATGACTTGGTGTCAGCCAGTTGCTGATTCTGACCTTCTCTGTCCTACAGCATGCATTGGCAGCTCTCTGTGGTCTTGCCAACTAAATTCCATTTGTAGCCAAGGGTCTGTGTTTGATGTACAGATGAATGTCAGGAGGAGGCCCTGTGGCACAGACCTGTAACTTCCAACATTGATCATGTTATTTATTATCATGCTATTGATGATGCTATTCACATGATTTACATCGTAGAGTATGTGGCAGGGTGAGAAACCGCCAATTCCAGGGATATGAGCTTGAGGAACTCAGGCTCCAGTTTTGTCACAGAATTATGGGCAAGCTATTAGGATGCTCTGTTTCCCAGTAAACAGAGAGGGAATTATCTCACTGTCTAGAGATATTGGGAGAAATTATTTTTGCTGGTAAACTGTGTTGAAATTTGTGACTGAAAGGAAGATGTTGAGGGGCAGCTAGGTGGCGCAGTGGATAGAGCACCAGCCCTGAAGTCAGGAGGACCTGAGTTCAAATTTGGCCTCAGACCAAACACTTGACACTTACTAGCTGTGTGACCCTGGGCAAGTCACTTAACCCCAATTGCCTAAAAATTTAAAAAAAAAAGAAAGGAAGATGTTGGAGTGGGGGAGGGAAGTACAAATCTTCAGCAGCTTCATCCCCAGCTTCTTTATTCAGCTTTTATTCTAACACAACTCCCTATAACTGTTGTAGTCCTAATAATACAAAGCACTTTCATTAAAACAACCCTCTGAAATAGGTAGGCAGGGCAAGTATCTCCATTACACACAAGAAAATCGAGAGAAATAAATTGACTTTGCCAGCAGGTACACAGCCAGTGGACAGTGGAGCTGAGACTTGCAGCCAGGTTTTCTCTCTCCACGTGCTCTTTTCACTACTTGCATGATGCAGCTTCTGCAGCACTTCTTGGTGCAGGCCAGGAGAGAGGTTCCTGGCCACTTCTTCTAGGTCTTTGATCCAGTTAGAATAGTACAGTTCACGACTATTGATGCCAAACTAAGGAATTACATACACTGATGAGTTTGATGAGGAAAGAAAACCCAAGGACAAAAATAAATTTTGTGGCCTGCGTGTATGTTTAAAACTTGGGTAATTGAAATCTTACATGGGCCTCATGTAATTTGTCGATTAAATTTACAGTAGTTCTTTTCATTTTCAGGAAGAATACTTTGTTCCTATTTGATTCAACAGCAACTGAGATTTGTATTTTTGCCTTGACAGTAGATCAACTGTACTTTGCATACATGCCAGGCTATACTTTGCATATAATAGGCATTTGATAAATGTTTGTTGAATTGTGTTGATGAATTAATAACTCAAGTGGTAAGAGGTGGCCCAAATTATAAGAGAGAAGAGCTCTGAAGGGCAAAGGTTGATAATCCCAAATCTTTACTTCCAGCCAAGCTTCAATCCTACATTTCTAGCTTTGCTAACTATTTCTACCTTGATGCTCCACTGACACCTCCAGCTCAGCATATCCCAAACAAACTCATCATTTCCCCCTCAAATCTGTTCTTCTTCTTGACTTCTATGTTCCATTAATGGCAGCCTTCCATTATCATTAGCTCTTCCCTATACTTTGCCTGCTATATCCAAATAGATGACATTTTTTATGGGGCCTCTTCAATATTTCATATCGATTCCCTCCTTTTCATTACTACCCCTACTGCCTTAGTTCAGGCTTTTATTACCTCTCACCTAAATTACCATAGGTCCTTTTAGCTGGTCTCCATTGCCTTCGATCCTGCTACCCTTCTGGGGGCCATCTCCAGTGGCCATATCCATATCCGGTCATTGGACCCAGCTGGCTCTGGAGGAGAAAGTGAGGTTGGTGACTTTGCATGCCCTCCCTCGCTTAAATCCGGTTCACTTGTGTGTCATGGCATCACCTTCCTGATGTCATGGTCCTCTTTGAGAACAAAGGACAAAAACAACAACTACCCTTCCACCTGTACTCTGTGTTTCAAGAGTGATCTTTCTAAAGCACAGCTGCGATCATGTCTGTCCACTGAAAGTTTTAGATGTGGAGATCTTCACTGCTTATGAATGGGAGTCTAAACTCGAAGGATATTTGAGGGCTTCCATGCTCTGTGACCTAGTACTCCCCTTTGGGATTCTCTACACAACAGCCAAACTAATGTTCCTCGCCTGCTCTCAACACATCTCCATGCCCTTGCTCACAGCAGTCCCTCCCTGGAACGTCTTGTCCCTCTAACTTTGCCTGTAGAAATCCTTTCCATCTGAGCTCAGATGTCACCTCTTCCCCTTTGCTCAGTTTTCCCTGTTTCCCTCCCCAGACCATGCACACTCATGCATGCAATATTTCCCTCCTCCGAACTCCCATGGCACTTTGTATTTCTTTTATGATACCACATTTTACATTACAGTGATGTGCACACATGTCTCATCTTCCTTATCAGACTATATGCTATTAGAGAGAGAGGACTATGTGTTTTTCATAGGATCATAGATTGGAGCTGGGAAAAAACTTAGACGTTATTTACTTCAACTTCCCCTATTTTATGGATGAGGAAACTGAGGCACAGAGAGGTGCCCAAGTTTTCACAGGTAGTACATAGGAGAAAACTGGGTTTTGAATACAGGAACTCTGACTAGATCTAACACTGTGTCTACTCTACCACACCACCTTAACCTTTGTACCCATTATAGTGTCTAAAGTAAGGCCTTGTACAGGATAGAACTTCAATACCCACTGGAAAAGATAAATAATTGAATGAATGAATGAGCTGGGCCTCATAGTTAAAACAAAAACAACTAGGCTGGATATTTGGTGATTTTGGTTAATAAGTGTTTATTGACAGGTTAATCATGAGCCATGGGTTCTTTTCTTTTGGTTCCATTTCTAACTTCAAAGAGAGAGAGAGTACTTTCATCCTGAATTCTCAGTTTCTCTATCTGGAAGTAATAAATCTAAGTTGTCTCTACTTCACATCGATGTAAGGAGTGAACATGAGTAAGCCTGGGTTTAAAAATACTTAAAAGAGCAGGATTTGAAATAAAGTGGAAGGACTAGAAGAACAGAACTTAAACATTTTCATTTTTTTCCATCAATCACGTCTAAGAAAGAATGAAATGTTATAGGAGTCCAGAACTCAGAGCTAGAGATACTCCTGTGGTAGCTAGGATTCTTTAAGTTCTGCAGATTGTTTCACGTTGTGTTGAGGTCTGTAGGTACTAACACACCTTTCCTAGGGTTAAACCCTTGTTGGACTAGGATTCAAATACAGCTTAGGACTTGTGCAACAGTCAGGGTGTGCCAAGAAATGCTTGTGATTTCTGCCAGCCATAATCCAGCTATCTAACTTAAGTGTGTGTGTGTATATACATAGACTCACTTTTTCTGGTACCTGTCTATCCTCGTCCCAATTATACTTTCATCAACCTCTTTCCTGAAATAAATGACAAATATATAGAAAGAGCGTCTTTTCAGTATCAAACTGCAAAAATATAATTTAAACATATATAAAATGAATCGGATATTTTGAACTCAGAATAAAAACTATTCTTGCTAATTCTAGGTCTACAGATTGGAATGCCAGGGTAAGGTGTGTTCTAAGGAAGGCTCATCCCCTGGAATTTGCTTCAGTCTTTGGTTTAAAGTAGGCCAGGTTTCTTAGCCTTTAGGGAATGGCACAGGTCCCATCTGTTAAGTCCAGTATCCGCCTGGTGGTATAGGAGGACGGATGAGTGTAAGATTTCAAGTTTGAATCCTAGATAACAGATATTTAAATGTGAATATTCTTGTAATAGATATGCCTAGAGAGGCTAGTGATAGCAAAACAAATAATAGACTGAAAAAAAGTAAATGCATTTGAATCACCATCCTCTGTTTTTGTTCCAGTCAATGTAAAAGTTTGTTACATCTTTGGACTTGACTTTGGACATTACATATTAGTTGTGTATGGGTAGCAGTGGTTTATTTTTTAACTGTCAAGATAATTTCTGGTGTATTGGTGGATCTGTATCTTTGTTGGCTGGAGCTCTTAATACAGGATTGTATAGTGAATTACTATGGTTCCTGTAATGAGATCCTGCCAGGAGTTTAATCCTTTTTGGTTTGTAGTTATGCCTAACCTGTCTGGGCTGGGCCAGAGACTTTTGGAGAAATGGCGAGACAAAGCTGGTATAAACCCACTCCTTCCTCTTTCAGATGTGGATGAGTGCCTGTTCAGCAACGGAGGCTGCCAGCACACATGTGTCAACACCGTGGGGAGCTACGAGTGTCAGTGTAAGGAGGGGTTTTTCCTGAGTGACGACCAGCATACGTGCATTCACTGTGCAGAAGGTACAGAAGGAGCTTTTTTTGTGTGTTACGAAGGCTTTGTCACAATCAGTCAACAAGTATTTATTAGATACCTACTATGCAGACGACTGGGAACCTATCAGATAAAAAGAATGTGAAAGTCACAGTGTGGCGGAGTGAGAGAGCGAGTCAGTGGTCCATTTCTCCTCTTTGATCTCGTCTGTAATATGGGAATTATGTTTCATCACCTACCTCATGATAAAAGTGCTTTGTAAGCTGTAAAGTGCTATAGAAATGTCAATTATTTGTCCTGGCTTTGTCATCTAGCTTCTGAGCCTTAGGTTCTTCCTTGGCAAATGAGGAAGCTGGACTGGCCTGTGATTCACGTTTTCAAAAATTCTAAGTTCCAATATTAGGAAGATACATTAGGAGTAATGTCGTACTTGAAACACTAAACCAGGGTTAGGGAACCTGCAGCCTTGAGGCCACACGTGGCCCCTTAGGTCTTCAAGTGCGCCCTTGGACCAAATCCAAACTTTACAGAACTGTCAAAGGGCCGCACTTGAAGACCTAAGGGGCCACGTGTAGCCTCGATTCCCCACCCCTGCACTAAACCTTTCAAACATGGTTACCAGTGAATGAATCAGGATCAGGCCACTCTTCTGCTTCAAGGCAGGGCTTCATCAAACACACAGACGTATCTCAAAATACTAGTACAAAGGGAAAATTTTTATTCATCCAAGGGTTACATCACGAAGGTTGTTTTCTCCACTTGCTTTATCATTATTAAATTAAGAAAACATGTATAACCTGCTTTGTAAATATAAAGCACAATATAAATGTAAGCTGCTGTTATCTGTTTATTTTTAAGGAAAACTACCAAATGTCTTGTACATTAGATACTGTTAATTCCCTTTAACTGTGTGCTATCTATTAATTTCCAATGAATAGCACTTTTTTTTTCTCCCTTAAGTAGCTGATTTTCTCCTGGGAAGATACATTCTTAACTGTCTAAGAAAGGTGTGAGTATTTCACATGTCCGGAGTGGTGCATTCAGAATGTATGCACCACTAAAGTACTGATTTGAACAATTTCTTCTGCAGTCACCAAACATACACAGAGAAAATGCTCGAGTGGAAATCAGGCAGTTCATTTTCATGCTTTGTAAGCACTCTTAGTGGGTAGATCATACTGCTATGTTTAATACAGAAGTCACAAAACACTGGAGCTAATCAGTATAATTTCTGAATTTGTGCGATGCACTGTTTCTTGATTGACAGCGGAATAGTAGATGTTGGCTTTCAAGTTGGGTCCTTTGGACTCTTTTGTATGTTCCATAGGATTTGGGGCATCTTTGTCTCATGAGTCTTATGTAGAGTTCTCACTGTGGGAAAGGAATCAAGAAACCAGTAGAGCAGAATAATCTGAAAAGCAGAGCATCCATTCTTTTGTTGTTTAAAGCTCTCTTACCAGAAGGAAGAATACTGTAGTCTGACACTTGGATGTCTAGGCTGTAACATGGAAAGTCATTGATTAATTATTCCCAGCCAAGCACCTGGCAGCATATAGTGTAATTTCACCCTTAGGTAACTATGAGTTTTTCATTCAGCCATGTTAAATAAACTGATTGCAACCATCACTTCCAATAAAGTGACTGAAGACTTTCAAATTGATAATGCTCCCTCTTCCCCAAACTGAAATGGCCAGTGAAAACTGACCATAGCCACAGCCTCCTCAAAACAAGAGGCAGAGTGAATGTGAATCTTTTCTCCAAGTTTCCAAAATTATACAGTTCAGACATTCTTGAATCCTCTGAAGCACATTTAAAATGAAAATCTTTTTTTTTCTTTCTGAGATTGCAATATAAATTCAAGAATTTGAGTTGTGGCCTGGAAACTCTCATTGTGATTTGTTATTGCTTTTCAAGCTGATTGCTTGGCAAATTCATATCAACATAAGTCAATAAATTATAGTGGTTTGTAACTAAGAACTCCTTCCATATTTTCTTTCTAAATTCTTAAAAAGAACAATAGGTAAAAGTGCCAACTTAAGGAAAGAGTTTTTTTTAAAAAATTGGTTTATATGTTAAACTCTTAAAGTTGATATTTAAGTTCTAAAACCCACAATTTACAGTTAAAATAATAGTATCTAGAGGAAAGCAATAATTAGTATCTTTTAATGAATTTAAAAATATTTTATTTGCAAATGTTTTGTAAAAAGTAACTGTCAAACATAATGATCACATTTTGGACACAGATTTTGACTTTTCTTTAATATTTGTCAGTTTGGAGGCAACATTTAGTTGCTTAGGAAGGTTCCCGTCCATTGGTATTTACTCTTTTTTTTTTTTTTGACACTTTGAAATGTCAATTCCCTGGAAAATTGGCTCTCTATTTTCACTTGTTGGAGAGGCTAAAGGGATTACATCTGAAAAGGATATATAACCTGTACCCTGTCTTCATCTTTATTCCTGCGTGTTTTGGTAGTCAAAATAAACATAATCTCCCAAGCTGAGATATGGCATAATGGATAGAGTACTGGCCTGGGAGTCAGGAAATCTGTTTTGTGGTCTCATCTCTATAATAGTATAATAATGGATGACATTTATATAACATTTTAGGGCTTTTAAAACTCTTTACTTTCCCTTATTTGAGCCTTATAACAACCCTATGAGGTGGGTCCTACAGACATTATTATCTCTTTTTTTATAAGTGAGGAAACTGAGGCTCAGAAAGTAACTTTTATGGTCATAAAGCAAATTGGCAGAGTGACTATGGGGGCAAGTGATTTCTGTTTGGACCTTGGTTTTCTTCTCTGTAAAATGAAAGTGTTGGACTAAATATGCTGTAAGATTTCTTTCAGCTTTAATGATCAGAAACCATGATTCTAAGGTTGTAGGCCATTCCGGGCCAACATAAAGCATTTGAAGATTGACAAAGCACTATACGTACATCCTCTTACCCAAAACTAAAAAGAGCACTGCAAAGTAGAGGCTGTTTTGCACATGAGGAAAATTGAAGTCCCTAGAGGTTCAGTCACTAGCCCATTGTCACACACCTGGAAGCCTCATCAGAGTTGGGATTCACACCTAGGTCTCCCTTGACTCCCAAGTCTAGCTCCATTTTCTCCCATAACAAGCTGCAACTCCTTAACATGTTATGGCTATCTCTTCTTAGTGGTTGGACTGCCTTTTTGTGGAGTAAGGAGAGATCCCTGATGCTTCTGAGTTGCTACAGAGAATAATCCAGGCAGGAAGGGCACAGCCTTCACAGCTAAACTCCACATTAGTTGTTACTTGAGGTCCTTCTTTGCTTTCTCTCCAAAGCCCAGCACCCCAGAGCTACTAGGGTACAGCCCCTTTGGTCTCCCTACCACCACCATCTTGAGAGATGAAGAAAGAAGACCTTTAGGTGGGACTGAGTCTGGGTCTGAGTTCTAATATCCTTCCTGCCTGGAGTCCTCTCTTTCCAAGCCCTTCTTTCATTTTATATGCTTACACTTACCCATTTCACGTCACATTTTGATCTGGTTTCCATATGTGATTTGTAAATTCCATACTGGGACCCTCTGTAAATAAGAAGGAATTTACTTTTACTAGTGCAATAATACCAAAGCTTCAGGGATGTTCTGACTACTCCCCCCAATTTCCATTGTTGATTGACAATCTAAATATCATCCACAGTTTAATCTCAAGTGACAGGCGAGTTAACTATATACTTCTTGTGTTGCTGAGAATTGTCATTATTATTCAATTCAGCAAGCATTTTTAACTATTCCCACCACAAATGCTATTGCTGGCATGTTCAGTTTACCCATTTATGTTCTTGGTTTCTATAAATACAAATAAATAAATTGTGTTGGTTAGCTTGTCTTATGAGCATGGTGATCAGAAGGAATAGGTGCTAAAGCAGCAGTCACCACCAACTTGGATAGGCCATTTTTGCACAGGCAAGCAATCAAAAGGGTTTGCCAAGTGGCTGAAAATGCCACTCCAAGAAACTCCATTAGCCAGAGCAATAAGAGAGCTTTACACTAATCCCGGGCAAATTGCCTTCCTTCTTAATTGGCAGCAGCTGTTGGCAGAGGTGAGCTGAATTGAGACCGGCACCCAGCAGACTGAGGGAGGCAAGGGTGTGATGCTGGCTCATAGCTGACAGATACAATCAAGATGGTTTGAGGAGAGACATAAAGAGCTATGGGAAGTGTTCCTTTGCACTGTACATCTTACTAACTTCTGTCATCCTGTTACACATGGAAGTGGTTTATGAGATTTGGGTAGCAGAAATCTAGATTTCATTATGGAATATTAAGTAAAGGGAAAGGGAAATAGTACATAATAAATAGTTTTGAATTTTTTTTTTTAGTGAAGATTTTTGATCCCTGCAGTAATGAGTACCTTTTATAATCATGTATAACACTGTGAAACTTGTAATATCAAGAGCCCTTGTTGGTTCACTCATGGTCAGTGACATGTACAGTGGTAAGGTCAAAAGCAGGCAGGTACTGTTGCTTTTTTATCTTTTTAGTTCCAGGGCCTGGTATGGAGGCTGATATGGATAGATTTTTAATCAATACATTCCAATGTTGGTAGAGGAAATCGCCAATATTGGGATCAGGAGATGGTGAGGGAAAAAGAGGTGTGGGATTCTAATGCCAAGTTTTAGAGTGTATGTGGCATAAATAGATTAATGGATCACATTTTGTTCTTGTGCAATCACTTCATGGAATTCCTATTGGCATTTTAAGTGGGTTGATTTGGGGTTAATTAGGTGGCAGAAGTGGCATTAGAAATATCCCTGATGAGTGATTACAGTATGATAGATTCGTTTGAATATATTGTCTTCTATTGGTGTCACACAATTTTCTCAGTCATCCAGGCTCATATTTTTAAAATTATTTTCCCCCCTGCTTTGCTCCCTACATTGTCAGCTGCCAAATTTTACTGATTGAATTTCCATAATGTCTCTCACATTATTTTCCTCCTCTTCACTCGCTCTGCTATGCCCCCAGTTCAGGCCTTCATCGTCCCTAGCCTGAATTAT